ATATATATATATATATATATATTTATTTATTCTATTAAGAATTTTGGGGGCTGAATAGAAATCGTCCAGGGGCTGCATTTGGCCCTGGGGCCATATGTTGCCCATGTCAGGTCTGAACAGTAATTTTTGTGAGTGACCTTAAAGACGTGCTGTCACTCATTTTTAAAATCTGTACCGATGTGCTTCTGAGTCGTTGATGCTGAAGTGGCCGTGTTTGGGTTTCAGGTGGCGCTGAGGGCGTGGCTCAGCTGTTCCGGGTGCAGGATGCGAACCTGCGCGCTCGTGTTGTCCTGCACGCCCTAGAGCGCTGGCCTCTGTCGGTCTGTCTGGACCTGATCCAGTTCTGCCTTCAGGACCCCGGCACCGAAACCTGTCTGAAGACGGACCTGCAGTGCCAACACAAAGAGCTGTCCATCTACAGCTGGGTAAATGTGAGCTTTGAGCTGCACCAGAACAGAACCTCTGCTGGCTCCGCTCTTGTTTACAGTCACTGACCGCTCAGCTGGCAGAGGTTACCTGAGTTCAGCATGCCCCGCATGTTTTCCAAGTTTTAAATATGTGCAGTTGCATCATGGGAAGGTTTGATGTCCCTGCAGATGATGGATTTACAACCACCCTTGCCTTGGAGCACCTGGCAGGAGCTGCGGGCAGAGTCCAAAACAAGTCCCGAGTCCACGTTGGCTTTAATCCTGGAGGCCAAGGTGGGTCCAGCAGACGCCTGTCACTTTTATTCACACAGTGGAGCCACAAACATACACAAACATGGCCCCTTCCTGATTTCTATTATTGTTGTTGTTGTTGTCGTCGTTATTGTTGTTAGTGTATTGTTGTTGTTGTTGTTATTAAGATAAGATAGAACTTTATTAATCCCACAGGAATTTTTTTTATTGTTGTCATTATTGTTGTTGTATTGTTGTTATTAATAATAATAATGATGATGTTGTTGTTAGTGTATTATTGTTTTTATTATTATTATTAAGATAAGATATAACTTTATTAATCCCGCAGGAAATTTTTGTTGTTGTTGTCTTCAACTTGGAGGCCATGTTTCAGCTCTGACGAGTCGATCACATGACAATCCAACGCCGAGGCAGCGAGAACGTCCTCCTGAAAGATTTTAGGCAGTAACGACGGGAGCCCAGCTAAAAGCAACCTAACGAGCCGCTGCCATCTTATTTCCGCCTGATTGTTTAAAGCTGTAACTGAAGGTGTTTGTCGTGCAGGAGTTCTCTCTGTGTGAGCAGTGGGTCGAGCTCTATCCTGCCTGTGAGCAGCTGCAGCTGCAGACCGAACATCTGCTCTTCTTGTTGGAGAACGGACAGACGGACGAGGCTTTCCAGGTACCACCTGCGTCTTCAGGCCAGGTTCTCCGCACGCAGGAACAGAACCATTTGTTGGTTTGGGAACACGACGACGAACACGTTTTATTTGTCTCCTCATGCAAACTCTTTATCTTTTCGTGTCTCCTTCCATTTTCGTCTTTTATTTTGTCTTTTTGTCCTTTTTCATCTTTTAAATTCTCCGTATGTGTCTTTCTTTTTCTCTTTTTGCATCGGTTTCTTTTGTTTCTTTGCATCTTTTATGTCCTCTTCTCTCATCACGTGTCCTGACGTGTCTGTCGTTCTTCTGAAGCCTCAGATCTCAGCATCGTTCTGCACCTTCTCGTGTTTTCAAAGCTCCTGGAAGACCTGGCAGGCGTTGCGGAGGGACTGGAGGTTTGCGAGCGCGCTCTGGATCGCCGCCCGGGATTGGCTGCGTGTCACTTCCTGTCTGACTACCTCACCCTGCACGCTCAGACACAGATGTCTGAGGAGCGGCGGCGCTACGTGCACGCCCTTCACCTGGGCTCCAAGGTTTGTGAATGCCCTCAGACTTCATTTAAAAAAATAATAAAAATAAGACAAACTTTGTACAGATGATATTTTTTAAATCATTCTTTGTGCCGTAATGTTTAAATCAAGCTGAAAAATGATTTTATTGGATGTTATAAATATTTTTATTGTTGCTGCTGCCAGAAGGCAACAATAAAAATGTTTTTGCTTGTGTCTGTCAGCAAAATATCTTAAGAATCACTGAACATCTCAGAACATAATCGTACATCCATCCCTAACCCTAACGTGTTGGACTGACATCTACCTGTGCTCAGCTTGTGGACACTACGGTGTCCTGTGGTGGTTTCAGAGTATCCTGTACACGTGAGGCTGCAGACGAGCTGTTTCTAGTCTCTGCGTTCTTTACGTTTTGTGTTGTGAAGGACACGGGGAGCTCTTTGACTGTTTTCTGCCTGTTTGGTCCTTCAGGTGCTGCTGACTCTGCCCCCCGCTGCCAGGCCCGATTACTTCCCCCTGCTGTCAGAGCCCCTGCTCATGTTGGAGCAGCTGCTGATGAACCTGAAGGTGGAATGGGCCGAGGTGGCGGTGCAGACGCTCAGGAGCCTGCTGGTTGGCCAGGAGGCCGGCTTCGACGCTGACGACGTGGACAGGCTTCTGGCAGACTACGCCTGCAAGGCCCTGGACTTCTCCTGTGCTCCCAGAGAGAGGACTCGGTCGGGTCAGTACCGAGTGTGAGACTCACGGCTGTCACTTGTAGTCAGACCTGTCGCCATAAACAAAATATAATTAATCGCATGATAAATGAAAACCGTGTCTCTCTCTTTCTACTGAAGACGCTTGATGGCAAAAGACTCAACTCAGGTGTTCTTCACTGACCTCTCCCTTTCTCTTTTCTCTGTAAAATCTGTTTTAACCGTCCCAAATCGCGTTATTGGATCGTTAAAAGCAGCTAAGCTACGAGCTAAGCTAACAGGCCGACCTCGGGATAAAACCTCCGTCTTGTCGAAGCTCCAACATTCACGGTTGAAACCCGTGCCTTCGTGTGAAAAGTTGTTTTTCTCTGCAAAAAGAAGCTGAGAACTTGTTTACTGATTTTTTTTTAATTAAAAGCTTTGTGTGACGAATGCTATGCTTAAGAGCTCAAACCACACCGAGCGTCCACCATTTTGAGAACCGATAAATGAGAACGAGAGACAACCCATGTCCCTCCCATTTTTCTTAAAGAGACACGCTGCTCGCTCCCTTACCATCCATCCTTTGGTTCAAACAGTCATACTGCCATCCAGTGGTCAAAAATGGTACTACACATAAAAAATGTACCATTTCTTTTTAAATTTGACAATAATTACTAATTATTGTCAATTTTCACACAATATTATCGTTTATCGCAATAATTTCTGAGACAGATGATCGCCCAGCAAAATGTGTTATCGTGACAGGTCTATACTTGTAGTTTTTATGAAATAACTCGGACTTTGAGTGTGTTTAGTTTGAAACGAGTGCCCAGTTCAGCAGGTTTCACCGCTGCCTGCAGCTGGAGGCCAGATGTTTCTTAACATGCTGGTGGTGGCGGGTGATAGGCATCCCTTCAGGGACTGCTAGGCCTTTATTCTGCCTTTGTTTTGCAGACTCTGTGATCAGCCTCCAGGACACGCTGCTGCAGTGCCCCCTTCAGGAGAGCAGCTCTCCAGCATCCAGCAGAGTGGACTCTGCAGCATCTTCCACAAGTGAGACGTGCGCTCATGCCTGAAGGTGTTACGGTGTCCTTTATTTATTGATCCAACCCGTTCTGTGTTCGTTTACAGACAACACCCCCACACACAGCTCCTCTGCAAACAGCTCGGACAAGGAGCGGGACTCGTCGGGTCAAAGACGCCGATCGTCAGCCAAATTCCGGCCTCCGGATCAACCGCCGGCCCGAGAGAACTGGGTCCCTGACACCCAGCACGATGTGTGCATGGTCTGTCGGAGGGAGAGGTTCACTATGGTCAGTCAACAGAACAACCTGAACCGTGGTGTCACAAACAAAAACAGTCAGCCGTGGACGTCCAGGTGGTTCACGTGGCTCCAACTCGCAGCAAAAATCATCTCCTGAGCAGAGCAGTGGTGACAGGGAAGAAACAACTCCCCTTGAACAGGAAGAAACTTCCACCAGAACCAGAACCAGACTCAGGATGGGCAGCCATCTGTCTGGATTTACTAGAGCTGGAGAGTCCTGTAGAGCCACGTATACCCTAGTACTGCTTTGTACACACCAGGCATGTACAAAGTAAATACCATGTATACTATGGACCTGGTACTTTCTACATACCTGGTACTTACTTTATATGTACCTGGTATGTACCAGATATAAATCTGGTACTTACCAGGTACTTTATTCATACCGGGCACATACTTTGTACACACTTGGTACTTACTTTGTACGCAGCTGGTACTTGTACCAAGTTACCATGTAGCAGAAAACGTACCCAGTTCCTGGTTATTAACAGACTGCTTTATGTATTTCTGCCAAAGGATTAGTTTTTATTTCATAAAGTCATATTTAAACCACACAGCTACAGACAAATTGTTGGTTTTGATTGAAGAGAATGAAAAATGAGCTTCAAGGAGCAGAAGTTTGAATACGAGTCACTCTGTTGTAGTTGGTGGAGTAAGGACATGTGGATCACACCCAGACAGGCAGTCTCTGGAGTCTGGACCTCACGGTCCTCGGAGTGGAGCCCTGAAAGAATTCTGTGTGTTCAGTTCAACAGACGGCACCACTGTCGGCGCTGCGGCCGTCTGGTTTGCAGCTCGTGCTCAGAATGGAGGATGGCGGTCGATAGGTGTCCAGGAGAAGCCGTCAGAGTGTGTGGGCAGTGTTACTTCTTCTTCCACTCAGAGTAAGACCCTCACTCATCCGTTTTAGTAATCCCTCTATCATTCGTTGTTTATTTGTCATGTGCAGGTTCACACAAGGTCAACAATGCAATGAAATGTTCAGGAGGAGAAGAACCGACTTGACTCGCTAAAAACTAACACAGGAAATACTAGAGCATGCGATAAGGCAGTGGTCTCAAACTGGGGTCCCCAGACCCCCGGGGGTCTGCGAGCTGGTGCTTGGGGGTCCGAAAATTTTTTTTACAAGCACATAGATGTTTAAAACCTGTTAAAATGCACCAAAATACAGAAAATCACATCTTTATTCAAAAATTTCCTGGGAGAGGACCCCCAGACCCCCCCCTTAGATCTTTAGATGACTTCAATCAGCTGGATGTTATTAACTAATTATGTTCCTTCTGGTTGGGACATCAGAATTCATCTACATGCAAAACTTTTACATGTTAAATTTGTCTAAATTTGGAAATTAAATTAAAAACTTAATTTTTGGAGAATTTTTACTTTTGATCAAATTAAAAGTTTCCATAAATTCCAGTTTGTAAGGACACAAAGTTGTTTTGATTCTTTCAACACGAAGGAGAACTTAAAGCTGCAGAAGTGTAGAACATAAAAGAATAAAAGTGCATCAATAATATTTAAAAACCAGTCGTGACATGAAGTTCTTTTTGTCTTTGCAGTTCTGACGAGTCGGATTCTGCTGAAGGTAAATTTAATTTATATACTTTTTGCTCATTTCTTCTTTGCTTTGTCACTTTTTCAGAAAACTTTATTTAAATTTAAAGTTAACAGCTGAAATCCTGATGAACTCCTGGTTCTTCATGGTTTTCGTGTTCCACTTGTGAACAGTTCCGAGTTGAAAACTCACTCGAATGACGAGTCTCTGAGGCCCGGGCTTCGTTTGTTGCTACTTCCTGTCTGTTGAAGTCACATGGTGTTAAGTACAGGTCTGAGTTCTCTCCCTGCGCACTGAAGAAGGTGCTCCAAGCCCCGAGTATCTGGGTTCTGGGTGTGTGGACGGTAGGCCACCTCAGTCCTCGATGTAGGACCTCCAGACCAGAGCTGAGCTCACACAGGCTGCAGAGCAGACGATTCAGGTTAACAAACTTAGCTGCTGGTTCAGCTGCTGGTTTAGCTGCTGGTTTAGCTGCTGGTTTAGCTGCTGGTTCAGCTGCTGGTTTAGCTGCTGGTTTAGCTGCTGGTTCAGCTGCTGGTTTAGCTGCTGGTTTATCTGCTGGTTTAGCTGCTGGTTCAGCTGCTGGTTCAGCTGCTGGTTCAGCTGCTTGTTCAGCTGCTGGTTCAGCTGCTGGTTCAGCTGCTGGTTCAGGTGACCTTTTTACACTTACTGAAGCACGATGTTGCCAGAGCACTTCCAGTCAAAGCAGGCCATTTGTTTTTCTGACTGTTCAGTGATCGGGAGCCCCACTGCCACTCGTGAACCTCTGGACGGGATGCTGCATCTGCCTGAAGAGGTCCACCGACAGTTTAAACTCAGCCTGGACCCTGCAGAGAACCAGCTGCTGCGAAGCGAGTTTTACTACAACCAGGTCTGTATCTGAACCTGTTGATTCGAGCCCAGCCGTGAATGAGTGGCGCGTTGTGAATACACAAAGTGTTTGTTGTTTTATTCGGACACCACACAGAAACAATGATTTGTGAGTCCCTGAACGGAATGTTTATGGACAGAAACGACCCGCAGTCAACAGCTTTAAAGAGACAGCGTACCTACGTGGACGGGACCTTATGGCGCTTCGCCACGGTCTCAACTCTCATCGCTTCTACTCCACACCAGTGGTTTTTTTTTGCTCTCGGTAGAAGACAGACGTGTCCTCCCCTGCTCCGTCCCTGCTTTGCTCTTTGTCTTGTGAACCTTGCTCTGTCCCCCTCCCTTCCCCAAGGTTGTGGCCCTGTGACAGAGCTCAACCAAGCTGGCTGATAAACAAACACCTTTTTTCAGGACTATGGCTGGGGGGGCGCTCTGGACTGTGCTGTGCTACGACCTTCCCTCAAACTCAGTGCCTCCCCTGGCACAGCAACCTAGGAGATATAAAGACGCCAAGGGCTGCGTCGCTCACTTGGCGGCCATGCTGGGACCCCCTCCCACTCCACACTCACGTCTCTTTATGTTGCTTTGCTGTGGTAGATTGTTTTTGATGCCTCACACCGTGAACACGGTGTGAGAGATCTTTTTTTTATACCTCTTATGTTTTCTTCCCCTTTTTCTTATCTAAGCAATAAGGGCCACACTTCTTAGAAGCTGCAGCCCCTGTCCATCTTTAGGACGGCTGTACGGAAAGTAATTTCACTGTACTCCACTGTGCAAGGATAATAAAAGCATTCTGATTAAGGGCCTGCCCAGTGCTGGTGCCCACCCCAACTCAGCCCGGTTTATGGAACCACCTTGTTTGTATTTCCGGGCTGCTCCGCGGGGCCGATTCTGACGTAAGCTGACAGAAGCCATTGACTGGCCAGCGGAGCTCCATCGCTGGATGACCTTTCAAACTATATCTGAACCTCCACTTCTTCTCTGATCGTGTTGACGGACGGCGCCACAAGAAATGAGCTCATTTACAGTGAGATATCAGCGATGATGGCTGCACGGCTACACCTGGACTTATAAGCAGTACCAGGATAAGCTAAAGAAGGTAAAAGTCCAGTTATAGGGCGATTAAGGACCACAACGAGCAGAGTGGCTCAAACACAATGACTTGTCCCGATCCCGCCCACAGAGCGGGGAAACGAGTCACAGTGGAAAATCATCTCCACCTGAGTAGATCCGATAAGACGAGAACCGAGTGGAGTCACTTATCAGTGGTAAAGCAGCTTTGGTCCCCATCCTTTTAAACTCTTTTGATCTACTTCATTAATCCTGAGTTGCAACATAATGTGGACTCAAAGATATATAGATAGAAGGTATACTCTTTTTTTTCTGTTTTATTCTTTCAAACCCAATCTTTTACCCCTCTAGGCTCCCAGCGCACACCTCTGTGTGGCCATCTTGTCCCTGCACAGCGACCAAGCTACCTGTGGGCACCAGCTCATCGACCACTGCCGCTCCCTGTCCACAAAGCTGAACAACCCAGAGGTGGACGCCTGCCTTCTGACTGACATCATGCGGGAGCTGCTGTTCAGTGCCAGGATCATGTTTGATAAAGTTGGCCACAGCCAGGACCATGCACTGTGTGACAGGTAGGAGGGTACCTCCACTCACTGTGCTGGGAGCAGCTACACATTTGTGCTTTTATTTTCTAAACATGACATCTCAGTGGCTTTCAAACCCCAAAATGCATCACGGCAAAGACTGGTCCATCCCAAAGATCCAGTCCCCGGCACAAACAGAGTAATATTGTGTAAGCTGTTCAGTGTCAGGAGGGTGATCAGTCTTACATCGGAGAAACTGAACAGCCACTGACCAAAAGGATGGACCAGAAGAGCAACATCATCAGGACAGGTCTCTGTGGTCTACACTCCTCTCCAGTGGTCACTCAGAGATGAAGATGTTCACATCCTTGATAGAGAGGAACAGTGGTTTGAGAGGAGTAAAGGAGGCCATCTTTGTGAAGAGAACCCGTCCATCATTAAAGAGGGGCGGAGCCTCCATGTGTCCCCCTCTTACAGTGCTGTTATTGTTTGTATCAATAATAATAATATCTGTGAAACTGACTGACCTAAAGATCTGTTGTTTTCTGAACTCTGTTGGCTGTGGCAGCCATCTTGAATTGGGTCAGGTTTAAGTCAACCCAATGATTTTGTTTAATGAAAGTTTTATTACAAGATATTTCGTTAACAGACAATGTTTATGTCGGTAGTTAAGGTCAAAGCTTTAATCCCAGATCTTGTGAGATCAGTTGGTGTTTAAAGCTGCATTTATAATCCACAAGAAGTTAAGAAATCTTCTCAACAGGTGGAGCAGATAAGGTGTTCAAACCCTTCTGGAAGCCCCTCCCCCTGCAGTAGGGCATTATGGGTCATGAACAGAGGCCCAGCGATCACATGGCGTGTAAATAAGTTTGATTGGTGTTGCACTGCAATGACCACAGTAGAAGTTTTTTAGTTGATGCAGGAGAACATGCTTCAACAAACTGGTCGTTGTTTTGAAGCCCATCAAGCCCAGTTGTCCAACCAGCAGCACTGGTTATTTTCAGACCAAATCAATTATCATTCTGTCGTTTCCCAACAAGAGATGTTCTAAGTTTAAACTCTGGCATGAAAAGTGATGTGCGTTACTAAATGAATGCTTGGTCATTAATCTGATCCTTCCTCCTGTCCTTACTTCACAGTTACATCAGTAAAGTAGACGTGATGAAGATTCTAGTGACCGCCAATTATAAATTCATTCCTTCTCTGGAAGAGATTTTAGAGATGTCAGCCGTCACTCGTCTCCGTAATCAGCTGCTGGAAACGGAACACTACCAGCTCGCAGTAGAGGTGAGGCTGTTTGTTTGTTTGGTTCATGAACCCTGAATCCCACTGGTGGCATTACGTCTCCAATCGTTGGCTGCTCTGCCAGGTGTCGACGAAGAGCGGCCTCGACCCCAGCGGGGTGTGGCAGGCCTGGGCCCTGGCATCCCTGAAGGCGAGAAACCTTTCAGGAGCAAGAGAGAAGTTTTCCCGCTGCATGAAGGTTCCTGTGGACCGAAACCAGCTTAGTCTTGGTCCACTTCTGCTGCAGGAGATTGTTCAGCACCTGGAAACCTCCGTACGGCTAACTCAGAGCACGGTAGGACACTTTGACTTGTTCGTCCAAACAACTGTAGAGACGGTCAGGATGGTTCTCTCCTGAACGCATTTACCTTTACTGTTATTTCCAAAGTAGTCCTCATGAACAAGTGATGAGCACATGCAATTAACGACCGTTCATTTTTACTCCTTAGTCTTATGGTGAAGACATTTTGGCATCTCTCTATGAGCTGGAGGACGCTCTGAACGATGCGGGTCCTGTGGAGCGACAAGAGGGCCTGACTCAGGACAGTACCGTTCACCTGGAGTGTCTTTACTACCTGAAGATGTATGGCACTCACCTGGCCCTCATCAGCTTCTACATGCGTCACGACTGCATGAAGGAGGCTGTGACGCACGTTCTGAACAAGGTGAGGCTCGAGATGGTGGCTCGACGATAAAGGCTGTGATCAGAAACCTGAAGCAGGTTTCTGCACGTTACTGTAATTTACTGCACTGTAACTGTACAGGACCATAGTTTACTGTAGTTTACTGTGCTGTACTTTATTGTACTGTAGGTAACTGTACAGGACCATAGTTTACT